TTGTGGAACAACAAAAGACCCCAAACAGCCAAAGTAATCCTGAGCAAAAAGAACAAAACAGGGGGCATTATACTATCTGACTTTAAATATATTTAAAAGCTATAGTAATTAACCAGCATGGTATTGGCACAAAATCAAACAGATCAATGAAACAGAAGCCCTAGAAGTACACCCACAAATCTATATTGTTAATAAATATTTGAGGAACACACACTGGAAAAAAGGATAGTATCTTTAATAAATGGTGCTTGGAAAACTGAATATGTACCTGTAGAGGAATGAAACTAGGCCCCTGACTCTCACCATACACAAAAACCAACTCAAAATTAATAAAGGCTATGAAATTTGCTAAAACAAAACAGGGAGAATTTCTTCAGGAAATTGAAATAGGCAAGGATTTTTTTGGATCAGACCCCATAAAACAGGAAACAAAATAAAAAAATAGACAAATAGAATTTAATTAAACTAAAGAGCTTCTGCACAGCAATCTAGAGTGAACAGACAACCTATATAATGGGAGAAAATTTTTCTTGCTGTACTCTAATGAGGGCTTAATAACCAGAATATGTAAGGAACTCAACTTAGTTACAAAAAAATAGGCATGTCTCATAGGAAGACATTCAATGGCCAACCAGTACATGAAAAAATGCTTAATGTCATTAATCATCAGGGAATTACAAATCAAAATCACAATGAGATCATCTTCTCACTTCAGTATTGGCTGTTATCAAAAAGACAAATAGTAACCAGCATTGGTGAAGATGTGTAGGGAAATTTTGTACACTGTTGGTGGGAATGAAAATATAGCTATTGTGAAAAGTAGCATAAAGGTTTTCCAAAAATTAAAAATATAACACCACGTGAATCTAGCAATCACACTACTGGCTATATAACCAAGTGTAATGAAATCAGTGAGTCAAAGAGAAGTCTGCACACCCGTGCATAGTGCAGCACTATTCACAACAGACAAGAAAGGGATACAACCTAAGTTTCCATCAACTGATGAATAAAGAAAACATGGTACATACATGCAATGGGAAATTATGTAGTGAATTAAAAGAAGAATGAAATGTCATTTTCAATTACACAGATCAAAAAGGAAGTCATTATTTTAAATGAAATAGGTCATTTGTTAAGGTAAATAAGCCAGGTACAGGAAGGTAAGTACCACATGATCTCGCTCATTAGTGGAACATATTAAAAAATAATCTTAACAAAAGTTAAAAGTATAATAGTGGTTACTAGAGGCTGGGAGAGTGGCAGGGAAGATGGGGAAAATATTGACCAATGGGTAATAAGTTACAATTAGATAGGAGTAAGAAGTTCTGGAGTGCTTTTGCAAAACAGGGAGACTAGAGATAATAATAATGTACTGCATATTACATGTAATATACCATATAATATACTAGGTTAAAAAACCTAGATGACAGGGATTTGGATGTATTCATGTATTCATGTATTTGGATGTATTCATGTATTCATAAAGACATGTTAAATGTTTGAAAAGACAGCTTCACTCTGATTGGAAATTATGTGGTGTATTCACATATAAAAACATCACATTACCCCATAAATATGCACAATTTTAATGTGTCAAAAATAACATTTTTATATGCAAGAAAATTTAAAAAGTGTGATTTTTAAAAAGATGATTTTATAGAAGCTGTGAGTAGAGAAGTTGTTATTTTTTGTCTTTCAATGAAGGAGGCCAGCATTGTGGCATAGTGGGTAAAGCCACCGTCTGCAATGCTGGCATCCCATATGGGTGCTGCTTTGAGTCTCAGCTGCTCCACTTCCAGTCCAGCTCCCTGCTCAAGTGCCTGGGAAAGCAGCAGAGGATAGCCCAAGTGCTCGGGCCCCTGCACCCACGTGGGAGACCTGGAAAAAGCTTCTGGCTCCTGGCTCCAGCCAGGCCCAGCCCCAGCTGTCATGACCATCTGGGGAGTGAACTAGTGGATGAAAGATCTCTCTCTCTCTCTCTCCCTCCCTCCCTCGCCCCTGCTGTGTAACTCTTTCAAATAAATAAAAACATTCAGTCCTGGTGGTCAAATTTATTGGTGTAAGTTTTTCACAATATTCTCTCATCCACATAGTGGTAATTTGTTCTCTCTACCTCTCCCTCCATCCCTTTTTCCCTTCCTCTCTCATTTTACTTACACAGTTTATCCATAATTTTATCAAATTTTTTTTGTTTTTCCAAAAAGCTGGCTTTTACAAGATTTGTTTAAAAGGCAGAGTTACAAAATGAGAGAGAGAGAGAGAGAGAGAGCGCGCTTCCATCCAATGGTTCACTCCCCAAATGCCTGCAATGGCTGGATCTGGGCCAGGCCAAAGTCAGGAGCTGGAACTCCATCTAGATCTTCCATGTGGGTGGGCAGGGGCCCAAGCCTTTGGGCCATCTTCTGCTGTTTTCAGCAGACAGCTGGATTGGAATCAAGCAACTGGGACTCATGAGTCAAACCAGAGTTCATATGGGATGCCAATGTTGCACGTGGTGGCTTAATCAGTTGCACCACAATGCCAGCACCAAAAAGATAGCATTTGTTTCACTGATTTTTCTCTATTGTTTTCTTTTTTTCTACTTCTTTGATTCATCCTTTCTGCTTATTTTGACTTTAATATTTTTTTCTAATTTTTTAGGGTAGAAAAATTAGTTTATAGAATGTATATTTGTTCAGTGACTGTATGGGAATACTTAAAAGTTTGTGGAAAAATGCAACTAAAATAAACTTTATACAAAAAAATTGAGATCCATGCATTGTTTTCTCATAATATGCATTTTATCTTAACTTTCTGAAGACCTCTGATATGCACGGATTTCGAAGAATTTCTGAAGCAAAATTAATTTATCTTTTAATTCCATTTTCCACAAACTTTTAAAAGTATCTTCAAGTACACACACACATACGCAAGTGTGTGTGTGTGTGTGTGTGAATTTTGAAATTTATATTTTCATTTCTTATTTTCTAATTTCCAAATGGCCACAATGGCCAGGGCTGGGCCAAGCCAAAGCCAGAATCCAGGAGCTTCCTCCAGATCTCCCAAGTGGCTCAGGGGCCCAAGCACTTGGGCCATCCTCTGCTGCTTTCCCAGGCACATTAGAAGAAAGCTAACAACCAGGACTAAAACCAGTGCCTATATGGGATACTGGTGCTACAGGCCACACTTTTAATCTACTGTATCCCCAACTTCATTCTTTACCAATGTGCTCCTTTGTGTTATTCTTAAAATTTTTGAGAATATTTATTAACAATAATTATACATATTTCAATACATGTATAAAATGTATACTGCTCAAATCAGAAAAATCAACATTTCTCCTCTAACACATTGTTTATGATTAAAAGCTTTGTTGTATAGTTTTCACCTTACTAAATTTAACAACAGATACCATAATTTGCTATATGTTATATATAATTATAAATATATATGCACACATTTACATAAATAGTCATTTCAGACATTTAGAATTCATTGAGGAGGCCTGTTTTGTGATCTTACTAGTGAAATAGTCTACATACACGTATAAAAAAAGTTCTACTGCTGAATCTTGTTGCTGAGAATGTCAATTTGATCCAGTTGGCTGTTAGAACGAATCACATCTTCTATATTTCTTCTGATTTTATGACTCTTATTGTTTCAATTCTTTTGAGAAAGTTAAAATCTCCAATTATAACTGTGGATTTGTCTTTTATTTTTCTTTTCATTACTTTCAGCTTTGGCTTTGAATCTCCCAACTCTATTTTATAAGTTTCTGAACCTTGTGGCTTCTGCTGAGTATCCCTGTGTGGTTTATAGTCTTATTTATTCTGCAGATCGTTTAGGCTATACTTTGTGTACGGAGTATGAAACTACAAACTTGGTTGTTTCTTTGCATTTTACTAAATTTTTACAATGAATCTCTCTTTTCTCAATCTTTCCCCCTGAACACACCCATTTAAGTTTATTATTATAACTACATTTTGGGTTCAGTTCCCCATGAACTTGTCAGCTACTATAGTATAGATGACCTGGCTCATATTTGCGACATGTGCCCTGCCACTTGCCACATTCTCTTATCCCCAATGACACTGCAGGCATATGAAATAATTGATATAGGACCAACATTAGAGATTTTTGAAATGAAATTAAGTTATTATTCTATATCCTGCCTTCCTTTCTGCTTTTTTTTTCTTGTTTAAATGCTCCCATCGGCCGGCGCCATGGCTCAATAGGCTAATCCTCCACCTTGTGGCGCCGGCACACTGGGTTCTAGTCCCGTCGGGGCGCCGGATTCTGTCCCAGTTGCCCCTCTTCCAGGCCAGCTCTCTGCTATGGCCCGGGAGTGCAGTGGAGGATGGCCCAAGTTCTTGGGCCCTGCACGCGCATGGGAGACCAGGAGAAGCACCTGGCTCCTGGCTTCAGATCAGCATGATGCGCCAGCCGCAGTGTGCCGGCCGCAGTGGCCATTGGAGGGTGAACCAACGGCAAAGGAAGACCTTTTTGTCTGTCTCTCTCACTGTCCACTCTGCCTGTCAAAAATAAAAAATTTTAAAAAAATGCTCCCACCACCAAGAGAGTGACTTCCAACTTTTAAATACTCACCTAACAAACATTTGTATGTCTATTATATTACTGATCCCATATAAGACAATGAGGAATTTAACATTAAATTGGCATCTTCCACTCAAAAACTAGTGTACTGGGGGAGAGGGATGACAGAAATGTAAATGAAATCCAGACTACAATTATAACATTACCATGGAGATTCTTTCCCATGGAGATAATGTATTATGTATATATAAACTATGAATTTTAGCCGTATCTTGTACAAGTTGTGTGACATAGACCAAGTTACTTACATTTGTGTAAGATTTTTTTTCCCTCAAAATAAAGATATCAACACATAAGTCTATGTATTACTGCAAAGATTCACAATAGTGTAGACAGAGCTGTTTGCCTGTGCTTAGTAACTGATCATTAGTATCTCTGATAAGCCTTGGAGAGCCCAGGATACTCACATTCATCACAGTTTATGATTTTAGGAATGTTGTTCGAGGAAGAACATAAGTGAATGTTTTCTTGGAAATCATAATATTTGGTGATGCTCATCCCAAGGTTATAAATTGGTAACAGCAGGAGTATATTAAGTATGAGGTTTTTTACAGTAGTGTTTACACCTGTGATTAAAAAGATAACATTAACGTGCTTTACCTAAAGTGAACTGCCTCCAGAAAACAAAATCTCCCAAAGTTGATCATATTAAACTGAGAAAATTACAAAGTCATTACACCATCCTCATAAAATTCTAATCTCTTACCGCTAAATATACTACCTCTGATATCTTAAAACTGAAGTTCTGCCAGCAACCCAAATAAACCATGAAACTAAAGGGATGCAGCCTGCAAACATCTTGATTTTAGTCCAGTGAGACCTATGTCAGATTTCTGACCTAGAGCACTGTCAAGTAATACACTTTATTGTGGGGAGCAACTGGGAGCAACTCGGACTAGACTAAGTTACTGGAATTAAGACTTATTCTATGCATCTGCTCTCCCACAATATGGCGCTGAGAAGGGAGAAACAGCTTCTACACAGCTGCCTCCAGTTCAACCAATAAACTGTAGGACTTACTCCTGATTGGAGGAGAGCAGCGTACTCGGTGTGTGGGTAGCAGAGTTGGGATTGGTGGAAGAGGACTATAAAGGAGGAGAGAGACAACATGCACCAGGAATATCTATCTGGGGGAACACCTGAGCAGCCCCCAAGAGAGCCGGCCGGCGGTGTGCCGCTCCCCCGTGGAAGTGGGGAATGTGGCAGGGGGAACCGCCCCTCCACGGAGGTGGAAGGGTCGGTAGCCAACTCGGGAAGAACCAGCAGCAAACCCGGGGAGGGCCGAGCAGACAAAAGAACAGCGCAGGGTCCTGTGTCGTTCCTCCACGAAGACGGGGAGCGACATAATGGTGCCGTGACTTGGATAGGAAACCTAGGAGGGAAGAAACGGGAAGAAGTGGGAAAATACCGGAGAGAGAGACTAGCAAAGAGCCTAAGGGAAAGCCGGACGAGAAAGGTGCCGGAAGAAGCTATTGAAAGCCTAGGCATAGACTCGGATACGGACTACAGGGGGAAGCTGGGAGAAATCTCTAAGGTCGAAAGCGAAAGTGAAAGCTAGAACAAACAGACTCAGATACGGACTGTGGGGAGAAGCCAGGAGAAATGAGGGAGGAATATTGTTGGAAGAAAAGTTAGGAAACATACCGGGTAGAGAAAAATATGTTAGGGAGGATGAAGCCGCGAGTGCAGGCTGAAGCAGAGACGTAAGCTATCTTGGGATTCTTCAAGTCAGCCCGGGGAGCAAAAGGCGAAAATCTGGAACCAGAGGCAGAGACGTGGGCCAGGATGGAATCCGTCAGATTAGCCCGGGGAGCAAAAGACGGGAAGCCAAACCATAAGGCGGAGACACATAAGCTAGGTTGAATTCGCCAGGTTAGCCCAGGGAACTTAGATTGAATACCGGTGGTGGCAGAAACGTAAGCTACGCTGTGTGACTCGCAGAAGCCGCCGCGTGCAGAGAGAGCACGGGGCATGAATAGATAGGGAACGCGGGGCTGGCGCGAGGCCGTGGTGCGGGCGCGAAGTGCGTGGAGACCGCGGAGTGTGCTCCCGAAGCCGAGCCGCGCAGAGCCGGGAGCCCGCCGCAGGGCGGGCGCCGGGAAGCCGCGCAGATGAGAGAAGCGCGGGCTGAAGCAGCTCAGAGCCGGGAAGCCGCCACGGGGCGGCGAGGCGCCGAGAAGCAGCCTCGGGGCGGGCACCGGGAAACCGTGGAGATAAGAGAAACAGAAGTTTAGAAGTAAAATGAGAGAAATAGGAATGCTGGCAGATAGAAGTAAAATACGAGAAATAGGAATGCCCGGAGATAGAGAAATAGAGAAAAATAAGGCCTCCCCACAACATGGCAGTGAGAGAGCTTGGATTCGGTCTGCCTTATTAGTAAGACGATAAGCACCTGTAGGCGGCTGCAGGTCACCGAAGACAGGCACGTTATCAACACCAATAAGTCTCCCCACAATACGGCAATGAGAAGGCTTGGATTCGGTTTGCCTGATTGTTAGGACTTATAAGCACCTGTGGGCAACTCTAGCAAGCAGAGCAGAGTGTGTGCCGCAGGGCACCGAAGACAGGCGCGTATCAACGCCAAAAATAAAAAGAAAAGGGGGATCTGTGGGGAGCAACTGGGAGCAACTCGGACTAGACTAAGTTACTGGAATTAAGACTTATTCTATGCATCTGCTCTCCCACAATATGGCGCTGAGAAGGGAGAAACAGCTTCTACACAGCTGCCTCCAGTTCAACCAATAAACTGTAGGACTTACTCCTGATTGGAGGAGAGCAGCGTACTCGGTGTGTGGGTAGCAGAGTTGGGATTGGTGGAAGAGGACTATAAAGGAGGAGAGAGACAACATGCACCAGGAATATCTATCTGGGGGAACACCTGAGCAGCCCCCGAGAGAGCCGGCCGGCGGTGTGCCGCTCCCCCGCAGAAGTGGGAAATGTGGCAGGGGGAACCGCCCTTCCACGGAGGTGGAAGGGACGGTTGCCAACCCGGGAAGAACCAGCAGCAAACCCGGGGAGGGCCGAGCAGACAAAAGAACAGCGCAGGGTCCTGTGTCGTTCCTCCACGAAGACGGGGAGCAACACTTTATAGTTTAAGCTACTAAATTTGTGCTAATTTGTTACAGTAGCAATAGAAATTAAAACAGAGACAAAGTGGCAACAATGTGGTTAATTCAGGGAAATAACAAAACAGCACAATTCCTCCTATTTTTAGTTTACTATTCGGAGATCAATTTTTGTTCATATAGCTTAATATTTCCTCTTGAAAAGGTATGCAAGAAATATTAAGACCTTCATCTAATTCAGGGAATTCTTCAGTAGGAAGGTAAGACTTAACATCAGCTGAATTAACACAGATGAAGCTAAGATTTAGAGTGTGATTTGACAGAGGAATGGCAGCAGTCTGTGCTCTAAAATATTTTTATTTGTGACTGTTGCCAGTCCAGTCACTCTCTCCTTGAGTATCACGATCAAGGGGGAAAAATTTAAAGATAAATATTGTACAAACCCAGGCAAGCAAGGCTTGGGAGAAAGGGGACTGTGATAATGTTAGTGGCATAATTTGTTTTGCTTTGCACTCAACATAATGCCAAAATATAAATGGCACTGATAAAAGGCTGTTAACTTAAAATTAGCATAACTTTTTCCACAGAAATAAATAAAAATTATAATATTCTTATCTTCAAACCCAGTTTTTTATGTTTCTTCATAGGAGGTCTCTGGGAAACAGAAACTGTATGAAGCTCTTACCTTGAAGGGTGTTTAGTAGGAGATCCACAAGTACACCCAAAAATCCCATGCATTGGTTGAACATGAAGAGCTTGATGTAGGCACTGGTGCCACTGCTAAACAGGAAGCATGTCAGGTATATGAAGGGAATAACAGACCAGGCGAACATCATAAAGATGAACATTGTGTCCAGAAAGTGGTAATCACTGATCAATAAATCCAGCCCAGCAAGAAGGAACACCACCTGAGACACAGAGTACAGAAATAAAGTCAAAGTGAAGAAAAACACGCAACACCTGACAACTCAAGTTCAAACACAGAAGGAAAAAATTGTTCCTCTATTATAACACAGAACTATTGATTAAATCATTTTATTTATGAGCATGCCTGTAAGGTATTTATACTTTAAAAAATATTTAATTATTTGAAAGGCAGAGTTACACACACACACATATGCACATATACACACACACATACAAGATCTTCCATCTCCTGGTCCACTTCTCAGACGGCTGCAACATACAGGGATGGGTTGAAGCCTGGATTTGGGAGCTTCTTCCAAGTCTCCCACGTGGGTGGCAGGGGTCCAAGCATTTGTGTCAGCTTCTACTGCTTTTCCAGGCCATTAGCAGGGAGCTGCATCGGAAGTGCAGCAGCCGGGACTTGAACCAGTGCCAACAGAGGGGCATAACTTTGCAGGAAGCAGCTTTACCTGTCACCCCACAACGCCGGCTCCACTTACACCTCTTCCTTACCAACGAGCAGAACCACTGTAATTGCATTTCTATTCCTTTTTGTTTTTCCTATGTGAAATGATTTTACTTTGTTGTTCTTGAACAAGATCAGAGTGCATTCTTTGTTCCCACACCCTCAAATAAGCCTATTGTCGATATTGCTAGAGATCAAATCACCTAGTAGGAAAACTTTTTAAAAATATTCTAATTCTGTAGCTGCAGGCCATGCATCTAAGGGGCCGACCTTTTACTCCTCTCTAATTTTAAATTCTGTCTGTTGGCTTTACGCATTATTTCACTCCTCTTCTCCCCATTTCAGCCATTTGGTTGAGAGTCACCCAGGGAAACCCAAGGCTACAGGGGACTTAAGTAAGAAAACTGAGAAACTGTATAACTGCTAAAAAAATAAATTTCCAGACATGCTTTCATTAGTTATTGATTATGGCTCCTCTAAATATTCCAGGGTTGTCCATTATGTGCTGTCAAATGATTACATAGGAGGATCATTATGAAGTGGGCAATAGTACAAAAGGAGAATGTCTACTGTGTGATTGACAAAAATGTTAGGATCTCTGTGGGGAGCAACTCGGACTAGACTAAGTTACTGGAATTAAGACTTATTCTATGCATCTGCTCTCCCACAATATGGCGCTGAGAAGGGAGTAAACAACTTCTACGCAGCTGCCTCTTGCCAACTTGAGTGATGACCTGCAGGAGCTGATCCTGCTCCTGATTGGAGGAGAGCAGCGTGCTCGGCGTGTGGGTAGCAGAGTTGGGATTGGTGGAAGAGGACTATAAAGGAGGAGAGAGACAACATGCACCAGGAACATCTAAGGGGAACATCTATCTGAAGGAACACCTGAGCAGCCCCCGAGAGAGCCGGCCGGCGGTGTGCCGCTCCCCCGCGGAAGTGGGGAAAGTGGCAGGGGGGCCCGCCCCTCCACGGAGGTGGAGGGACCGCAGCCAACCCGGGAAGAACCAGCAGCAAACCCGGGGAGGGCCGAGCAAACAAAAGAACAGCGCAGGGTCCTGTGTCGTTCCTCCGCGAAGAGGGGGAGCGACAGATCTCTGTCCTTAATGTGCTGTACATTGTGATTTAGTGCTATAACTGGTACTCAAACAGTATTTTTCAGTTTGTGTTTCTGTGTGGGTGCAACCTGTTGAAATCTTTACTTAATATATACTAAATTGATCTTCTGTATATAAAGATAATCGAAAATGAATCTTGATGTGAATGGAAGGGGAGAGGGAGCGGGAGAGGGGAGGGTTGCGGGTGGGAGGGAAGTTGCGGGGAGGGGGGAAGCCATTGTAATCCATAAGCTGTACTTTGGAAATTTATATTCATTAAATCAAAGTTAAAAAATGTTCTCAATGGTAGTAGAAAAAGTAATAAAGGCATCAATATACTTATGTAAAAGCACTCTAAAGCAGTTGTTTATATGAGGGAAAGGCAAGGAACATGCTCAGAAGGGAGACAATAAAATTCACATTTGATCAGGTAAGGATGAGTTACAGTTTCATGGGAAAGCTCCCCTGACACAGAGTTAGTCTTCAAAGGTTGAGAAAGATAGGTATTTTCTCAAATGCAAAATTTTCAGTACTAAGGCCAAATCACACAAAGAAACAGGCAAAAACCAGGCCATTCAAGAGAAGAAAATAAAATGGCAGCAATCATCCCTAAGGAAGCACAGATCTCAGACTTACTAAATAAAAATAAATTAAACTGTCTTAAATATGCTCAGAGAGCTAACGCAGAAATCAATGATTACAAGAGAATCACAAAAATAATATATGAATAAAATGAAAATATAAACATGATCTTTTCTAAGTTTCCTCATCTAGATAAATTTCAAAAATGTGTGCACTGAAATAAACTTATCTTTTAATTCTATTTTTCCGTGACATTTTGAATTTCACAAGAAAATTTAAAATTTGGAAAACGGTTAATTGGAAACTTTACAACTGAAGAACATAAAACTGAAATTAAGAACTCATCAGATATGTTTAATTAATAGTAGGTTTAGGGGCCGGTGTGGTGGCATACTAGGTTAATCCTCCACCTGCGGCACTGGCATCCTATATGGGCATCAGGTTGTAGTCCGGGTTGCTCCTCTTCCAGTCCAGTTCTCTGCTGTGGCCCGGGAAAGCAGTGAAGGATGGCCCAAGTGCTTGGGCCCTTGCACCTGTATGGGAGGCCAGGAGGAAGCACCTGGCTCCTGGCTTCTGGCTTCAGATTGGCGCGGTGCGCCGGCTGTAGCAGCCATTTGGGGAGTGAACCAATGGAAGGAAGACCTTTCTCTCTGTCTCTCTCTCTGTCTATAACTCTACCTGTCAAATAAAAAAAAAGTGGATGGATTTAATAATAGCATAAAGCAGAGTTGATAATCTAGAAAAAACATCAATAGAAAATATAAAAAGAAAAACTCAATAGAAACAAATTAAGTGTTAAAGATGTGTGAATGAAAAGACACATACATGTAAATGAAGTCAGAGAACATGAGAATAATCAAGAATCTGCAAAACTGGGGAGAGACATCAACATTCAGATTCTGAATATATCAAACAAAGTGAGTAAAAAGAAATGCAGGCACAATATAATGAGAATGCTGAAAGTCTAAGTCAAAGGGAGAAAACAGTGACAAGGAAGATTGAAAACCTTCCAAGGATTTACAAAGGACAACAGCCTACTCAGTGACAATAAAGAATGCCATAGAACAATGGGTATCACTAAAGTGCAGTGGGAAATGTCCTTCAAAATACTCCACAAAAGAGAAAAAAAATAAAGAAATAAACACATTTCTATTCAAACAAATCTGGAGGTTTTAATTTTTTTGGTCATCAAATTCCCCCTAAGAGAAATATCAAAGAAAATTCTTTATAAGGAAGAATAATGTTCCAAATAAAATTGCCAGTAAGAATGTAAAGCAATGAAAAAGAGCATGTAATTATAAGTAAATATTATCTGCAAAACAAACATTTATTTATTAAAAATAAATATGTGAAATTAAAATGCTGATCACAGTAATGCAAAAAGTGGGAAGGAAGTAACTGGAAAAACAAAGTTCTAGGGTCTTAGTACTATCAGGGAAACTGAAAAGCAACAACTTACACTAATACTAATTAATCAAGTGCTAAGATCATCTTCAAGATAGTCATGAAAATAATTTTTAAAATGCAATGATTGGGAGCAGAAGAAAAGGGGGGAATGGTAATTCAAATAGAAAAAGAATAAGATGATGATATAAGTATTTATCTACTCTGATTATAAAGCTAGTATTGTCACCCTGGAAAACAAACCTAACACCAAAAACATATTACTTACAGGAGATACTTTAAATATGAGGAACCAGAAAACTGAGTGTAAAAGAATGGTAAAACAAATACCAAGAAACAATACTCAAATAAAATTAGAATACCTTGATGCAGTGGTCAGCATACTGCTTGGGATGCCTGCATTTCATATCAAAGTGCCTGGGTTGGAGTCTTGGCCACAAATCCAGGGTCCCTCTAATGTGACTCAAGTAGTACTTGGGTTCCAAGACTGGTGTTGTGGCATAGTGGGCGAAGCCACCACCTCTGATGCCAGCATCCCACATGGGCACAGGTTTGTGTCCTGGCTGCTCCACTTCCAATCCAGCTCCCGGCTAATGGCCTGGGAAAAGCAGCAGAAGATGGTCCAAGTACTTGGGCCCCTGCCAATTGCATGGAAGACCAGAATGAAGCTCCTGGTTGCTGACCATATGGCCATCTGGGGAGTGAACCAGCAGATGGAAAATCTCTGTCTCTCCCTCTTTCTCTGTAACTCTTATATTCGAATAAATAAATAAATCTTAATAACAACAACAATAAAAAAGCACTTGGGTCTCTCCCACCAAGACTAAAGCTTCCAGCTCCCTAATTCAGCATGGTCCAGCCCAACTCTGGTTGCTTAGGGTCATTTGGGAAATGAACAAGCAGATGGAGATCTCTCCAGTTTGTATTGGAGAGTAAGCACCCCAAAATTTTGCAGACAAGAAAGCATATTTTAAGGAAAAGAATGTAAGAGAGAAAGATTTCATTACGAGGCATATTCCACATTGCATTATCTGGCATAATTTGGAAAATTATGTTTATCTTTCTTGAGAGAATCAGGTTTAGTTTAAAATCACAAGTTTTCTATGTTGTACGGAAGACTGAACCCTCAAGACAATTTATCCAACACTCACCAGTAGTAAGCAGCAGGCAAAAAAGAGGATGGCAATATCCCATATCAGAGAAGAAAACCAGAAAATAAAGACATAGACACCACTCAAAAACTGTATGTGTTTTGCTTTAGTGATTCTCTCAGTCACTGTCAGGAGGCAAAAGCTACTGATCAAAATACTCAAGCCAAAAAACAAATTAAGGGCTATTTGGATTCCCGATGTTCTTCTACAAAAGAATGGAAAAGGGAGCACACTGGTAAAACACCAAAGTGGAAAATATTAACAATAACTTTCTTAAGAACATGGTCAAATAGAGGAGGAGTTTATTTAAAGCATAAAGCTCAACTCTAGTTAAAAAAAAATATATATATATATATATACACACATACCTATTACTAGCGCTGTTACTAACATAACGAGGCTGAGGTTTGTTGAAGACTGTAATGGAAGCAGCAGAGCCAGAAAGCGACTTAAAAATAGCATTGTCTAACACTGCCAGGGATAATGACGGTGAATGGTAGGCCTCATTGTTGAACCAAAAGGTCAATTTAATGGCACCTCCAGCAATCTCAATGGAAAGTCCAATAATACATGAATGAGTGCATTGTCGATTTTTTGACAAGTATTCCTGTAGGTCACCTGGATTGAGGAAACAAAAGAATGGTCATAACTCAGCATACCATACAAATGACTTACTATGCAATGTAAAGTAACTCCCACAAATTTTACTTGCCAGATCTACTTTCCTTTTCCAATGTCTTACAGTTTCCCTGTCACATCTTGAATATTAATCTCGAAAACAGTCACTAATCTACATAAACCTCACACCTTTATTTCATTGAGAGTACACAGTCCATCAGCTATTAATTCCCTCAAATTCCTTTATCCTCATCAAAAAGTTCAGAATTAAATTTTTTTAAAGATTCATTTATTTATTTGAAAGTCAGAGTTACACAGAGAGAAGAGAGGCAGAGAGAAAGAGGTCAGTCTTCAATCTACTGGTTCACTCCCCAATTGGCCACAATGGCCAGAGCTGTGCTGATCCAAAGCCAGGAACCTGGTGCTTCTTTCAGGTCTCACACATTGATGCAGGGGCCCAAGGACTTGGGCCACCTTCTACTGCTTTCCCAGGCCATAGCAGAGAGCTGGATCAGAAATGGAGCAGCCAGGGCACAAACTGGTGCCCATATGAGATACCAGAATTGCAGGCAGAGGCTTTATCTGCTACACCACAGCACTGGCCCCAGAATTAAAATTGTTAAAAAAAAACCTTCCACTTCCAACTTCGACAGATTAGCATACAGAAAACTAAATCCTTGCTAAGAAAAACTGTAAAGCCTAAATAACCCCCACAAAATAAATCTGTTGGAAGGAGTTATAAAATTACCAAAGCAACAAGAGTTTTCAGAAGTTTCACAAGGGGCCAGCATTGTGGCACAACGGGTTAAGCTACTACTTGTGACATTGGCATCCTATACTGGAGCACCAGTTTGAGTGATAGCTGCCCTACTTTCAACCCAGCTCCTTGCTAATGTCTAAGAATGCAGCAGAAAATGGCCCAAGTACTTGGGTCCCTGCTACCCCTGTGAGAGAACCAGTTGGATTCCCAGACTTCTGGTTTTCAAGGACCCAGCCCAGCACTTGTGGGCATTTGAGGAATAAACAAGTAGATCTCTCTCTCCATGATGCTATGCCTTCAAATCAATCAATCAATAAGAAAATCTTTTTTAAAAGTTTCATGAAACCAAGGAGATAAAGAATAAAAGTTCCAAGTCTATCCAAGCAGCCACAACATAGAAATGCAACATTCAGAGTGAGCATCGCAGAGAAGACAGCATCATAGAAAATTCTCTGTTAGGGATGGCAATGACGACCTGAGGCCTGATATTTATGGTCCATGAGCTAAGAATTATTTTTAATTTGTAAATAAGAGGAGAAAGCACAAGAGGCAATGAAGATGATGATAACAAAAACAACAATGATAGAATATATGTAGCTTTTTAAAACAAAATATTTTATTTGAAAGACAAAGTAATAAAGAGGGGAGAGACAGAGTGAGAAATATATCTTCCATCCACTTTTTCACTCCCCAGATGGCTGCAATGGCTGGGGCTAGGCCAGGCCAAAAGAGAGCAACTCTATCCAGGTCTCCCAGATGGGCGGCAGGGGTCCAAGTATTTGAGCCATCTTCTGCTGTGTTCCCAGACACAGTGGCAGGGAGCTGAATCAGAAGTAGAACAGCAAAAGAACCTAAAAAGTTATTTTTCAGAAGACATACAAATGACCAAAAGGTCCCTACTTTCAATTCTGAATATATAAGCTGGGATGTATTCTTAACTTTCTGAGAAACTGCTATATTGTTTTCCATGGCCATTGTACCATTTTATATTTCCACCCAGAAGCAGCATACATGGGTTTTGATTTATCCACATCCTTTTCAACAGTTCTTTCTTTAAAAAATGTTTCAATAGCAGCAATTCAAATGGATGTGAAGGAGTATCTCATTATGGTTTTGACTTGAATTTTTCCCTATGATTAGTGATTTTCAGTATCTATTTACAGTGCTTGTTGGCCACTTGTATATCTTCTTCAGAGTACTATCTATTCAAGTTCCTTGCCCATTTTAGAAATGGGTTTTTTCTTTTTGTTGTTGATGAGTTTTAGGCATCTTAATATATTCTAGGTAATAATTATTGATCAGACACATAATTTACAAGCATTTGTGGAGAAAGATTACTTTGGGGATTGTCCTTTTATGCACAAAAGTCTTAAATTTTCATATAGTTCAATTTAACTATTTTTTCCTTCTTTAAAAATTTATTTATTCATATATATTTGAAAGGAAGAGAGGGACAGAGAGAGGAAGAGTGAGAAGAGAGGGACAGGAAGAGACGGAGAAAGCCATCTTCCATCCTTTGGTTCACTGACCAGCTGGTGTTACGTCAGCATAAAGCAAGAAGTCTGGAACTTGATCTGGGTCTCCCAAAGGGTGGCAGGGACCCCAAGAACTTGGGCTATCACCTGATGCCACCTACAGTGCACATTAGCAGGAAGCTAGATTCAGAAGTAGATATAGGACTTGAAACCAAACACTATGATATGGGATATAAGCATCCCAAGCATTTTAACTGCTGTACCAAATGCTTGCACTTAAAATTTTATTTATTTGAGAGACAGAGAGAGATAAGAAAAAAAATACCAGACTGGGCTGCCATATGCTAGCTCATACTTCAAATGCCCACAATGTACAAGGCCAGCCCAGGCTAAAGCTGGGAATTCAATCTAGGTCTCCCATGTGGGTGGCCAGAACTGAAGCACTACAGCCATTACCTGTTGCTTCCCAGGATGCACATTAGAAGGAAGTTGGAATCAATAGCAAAGCTGTGGTTGGGGGTGGTGCTGTGGTACAGTGGATTAAACCACTGCTGCAGTGCTGGCATCCCATGTGGGCACCAGTTCAAGTCTTGGCTGCTCCACTTCCAATCCAGTTCTCTGCTAATGTGCCTGGGAAAGCAGAAGATGGCCCAAATCCTTGGGCACATGCACCCATGTGGGAGACCCAGATGAAGCTCCTGACTCCTGGCTTCAGCCTGGCCCAGCCCCGGCTGTTGTAGCCATTAGAGGAGTCAACCAATGGATGGAAGACTTTTCTCTCTGTCTCTCCGTCTGTCTCTCTACCTTTCAAATAAATAAAAATATTTTTAAAAATTTTGAAAAAAGACTATCCTGGCTCCATTAGATGGTCTTCCCATCAATAAAAGTTAAAAAAAAAATATTTGTGTATGAGAGAGTTTACTTCTGGGTTCTCTACCTTTTCTTTTTCTTTTTTAAAAACTTT